TAAAATGGAGATATAGATAGTCAAGATTTGCCTACAATTGCTGTTATAGCTGATGAGGTGTAGTTCACCCATAAAAAACTAACTATAATTTAATATCGGGAGTAGACACTAGAAATAAAAAAATAAAAAAAAAGTAATAATTAGTTACAAAAATAGTTAGTTAATTACCCAATAGTGTAGGAGCTAGGACTAAAAAATTATATTTTTTGTCGTTTGCATTAAATATTGCTGCATTTGCCACATAGCAGTAAAAAAGCATAGTTATTGAATTCTTATGCTTTAAAAACAAGTATGGTCTGTCAATACTGGTAAGGAAGCTGATATTATTGTAATTGGGTAAAATACTCAGTATTGTTTATTTTAAATTAATTGGTAATATATTTTTTATTATAATAGACATAAAATATAATACGATAATATAATACCTAGGTAATCTGTACAATTTTGAACTTTATATATTGTAACTTGTAAGGCGATGGCGATAGTTATATTATGAAATGAGAAAGTGAAGTAAATCCGTATACGATTCAAATTAAGTATAATTTAAAAAATCTAATGCTCTAACCATCTCTTAAAAAATGATATTAATAATCTGAGAGATATTTCAAATAAAAGAAAAAGATCAAAGGTTGAATGTGTATCGAAATATTTTACAGGACTGATTATTGCTATGAGGAACCTAATCGAAGCTATAAAATATAGACAACAGCAATGAAGTATATTGTATGAAGATAATTTGATGGAATTAAAAAATATAAATGGTCCAATATTCTTGTATCTGGAGATAATAGCGATTGCAGTCAATATATTTTAAAAGGTAAAAAAAAGTATCTAAAAAGGGGTTCGCAAATAGGAGATTAAATATTTAAATGGGTGTGTGCGGCCCAACAATTTGGACATTTATAAATTGCTTGAGAAGGGTTCAAACAGATTACGATGTTCTTATAGCACAACTAACTGCTGGAGGGAGTCGCCCTAGAAAATGTAAAAAATAAACTGACCTAAATCGTCGATTATATAAAATAGTAAGCGAATACCTAATATCTACATTTTATATTATGTGTCGGTAAAAACAACACAATAAATTACCAGTGGCACCTTTGTCACGTCGCACAAAATAAAATAAAATCATAAACACATTAATACTTGAACATTACGTATTAACCGATGCATATTAAAAGAAGGGATTACACAAAAATCACTCCATATAAGGATCATACAGAATCGTCGTGACTATCTTAAAAACAAGGGGATCCGATGCAACGTCCATGGGCCAGTATGCACTTCGACAATATTTTTGCCATTAAAAGCGAATGCGTTCATATAATATTAGGTATGTATATTGAGTAATTCCAAAATTCAGTATGACTGTATAAATTAATTATCTAACTAATTCACCTATCTATTTACTCTTTTGCAATATAATAAGGTTCTGTGACTATCATCGTATTATTATAGGCCAGTTATAGTATTATTACCATAGATATATACAACAACTAGATAGCCGTCTCCTTCTTGTCATCGAAGTCGGCCGCCATTTACAAAGCAGGCAATGTTTACAAAATAATATTATCATAGTATATATGTATATAAATAAATGTAAAATAAATGTAAACATTGTCTGTTTTGTAAATGGCGGCCGATTTCAATATTGGTCACAACTGTAGTATAGTGACGGCTATCTAGTTATTGTATATATCTATTAAATTGTCTATTTAGAATATAAGTATAATAATAATTGTCCATTAACTTAAATTACATTCGGTTGGCGAATTGACTATAATATATACTCTCGCCATGAATGTAGGAATTTTTATAGTCACGTCCCAAATCATAGTTAACAAATTCATATAATGTTGGTGTTCGAATCCCATTAATAATATGTTACATAGAACTCGGAAGAAAAATATCTCTTAATAGGTATACTAAGTGTTAAATATACAAATCGAAACATATATAAGTGTGTATATACGTCGCAGTGACTTCGAGCATCGAACTCAACCAACAACAGCAACGAATACAGCTACTACTTATTCAGGTAAATTAATTATATTATTTAATTACAGTAGAAATCGGTTATAACGAGTTTCGAGGGCCAGGTTAGAACGAGCATTCGTTGTAACCGATTAAAAGAGGGAAATACAAAAATATTATTAAAATTTATACATGTATGCACATACATTTGTAATGACTCAAAAATTACGATGGGAAATAAAATACGACGCCGGTCGATAAATATATTAAAATCGTAAGACTAAGCAATTACCTTCCTCCAGGTGATCGGAGGGCTCTCGAGATCGTGTTTTCGAGAATTAAATCAAATACACTATACAACACAATTGTATAAAAAGCATGCACAGATAATATAATAAATGCAATTAACATAAAATATTATATTAATTGCCTTACCTGATCCGCAGTCGATTGTGAATTATTTTGTAAGGGTTTTAATAGACACAGAGTAATATTTTTTTAAATTATAACTCGAAATAATAAACGCACTGATTATTGCTCACATAAGGAGTCCAGAATGTCGCTCGTTGAAATCGGTCTTTTTAGACTTTTTTTTGGAGGTTGTTACTCTGTGAATGGTGCTCATGCACTGGTTTAAGGGACGACGAGACGATGCTGACCAGAGAGTGGTAGGCGGCTTTATCAAAAATGTTATCGTGAGCTTGGGAACTAGATTATTCTTTGGCGGCAGATACCCTTTTTTTTTCTTTCCTTTTCTCTGGCGGCATCGTATAATAAAGTCACACATCCTGTGTTTTACCGTTATGAGTGGGTGCCGATATCTTAGTTGTCGTTAATAATGGTTTTATTTGATGTGACCGATTTCTACAAACGACAGTCTGGCCGTTATTTATTAAGTATTCTGTAAGATTTTAGTTTATTATAATGGTGTGTGAGCAGTGAGCATATCATTACACATTATTTATACATACATTTATTATTAATTATTATAGTTGGAGATTTAATACTTTATTTATCAATACATGTTACTTTAACATAATTATAAAACACTTGAATTTAATTTCTTAAAATAATCTTTGATTAAACTTTTCTATTTTCATTTTTTCAGCCAGTTGGTCAGTTTTTGCTTGCAAAATAGGACCACTTATAATCACATTCAATAACCGTTGTTGTTTGAACCATACTAGTACAGATTATTCAAGGTCCTTAAGCTGTGCAGACCGTAGTCGTTTTGCTTTAAGTGGAGTGGTTTGAAACATATTTTTCAACGTATCCCGATTCTTCTATATGGTTGAAATTGTCAACGAAGAAGTGGCAAATTCTTTTGCTATCACGCTGTTTTTCTAACCACTCGATTATTCCGATTTTTTCGTCCAACGTAAAATGACTACGTGTCATGGTGGAACGCCTTCACACAACTGACGCTATTTGTAATTTTATATATTTTATGTATATCTTATATATAGGTATGCATCATTATAAGATACGAAATATATTAAAGTAGTAGAATAATTATTATACGTACCCTTTAAACTAATGAAATAAAATCGCTAGGTAATCAAGAATGTATAACCACATAATATATGTACATTTATAATATATTATTATATATTTTATTACATAAACAAATATTAATTTATTATACTGTTTAACACGTTGTATATAGGTATATAAATTATTAAAGTATCACATAATAATATATTACAAATATCTTTTAATCAAGAAATTCCTACTAAGTTCATATAGGTAGTTTTTACACACTTTATCTTTATTCTTTTTAGGGTCAACCATTGGCTAGTTCATGTTAGGTTAAGACATATAATACATTTTGGAAAACAATTTTATTGTTTTGTGAAATTTTCACTAATCAAATTACAAATCATATATATATATATATGAATATTCTTATAGTTTTTTAACTAAATATAACAAACTATATATTAATTAATTAATAAGAATTAACAAAAACATTTCATAAAAAAACAAATTTATAAAATTTATAATTTTGATCACATAAACACTATCGGTAGTCACATATACAACTCAAAACGAGGAAATAAATCAAAACATTACTTAAAACATGATCTTATACCAAGTTAATATTAACAGGTTATATTAAAATATGCTCCTATATATATTTATATATATTTCATAAATTCAGACCATCAGAGTTGTGTTACGATCCCCTTATTTTATTTATAAACGTACCTATGTATATTATTATTTTTTAAAGTTATAATAAAATACATAAAGATAAATTATTTAGTTTGATAATTTGTTATAAAGAAAATATATTTTTAATATAGTAGGTGTATTTACCGTATTTACTACAATATTTGATATTATACGTTTGATGAAAATTTGAAAAAAATATATTAATCAAGATCAAAAAATCCCGATAACTGGTAAATTATATTTGCAGACTTTTGAGTGAAATACATGTCTCAGTCTTAATGGAAAATTATATTGATTGAAGCTCTCCAATTGCACAGCTAATTAATAAGACAATTACATTTTTATAAATAGTGTTTGATAATAGCTTAAGTAATTGAGATTAGAAGATAAAGAGTAAATTAAGTAATTATCCTAACGCTGAATATAATATAGTTTCCTTTTGTTAAATTAACAAACAAACAAATCACTTCTCAAATGAGCATCCTAATAGCTATTGATAAAAAGTAAAAATGTATATGCTATAAGGTGCATACCACGAGAGTAAGTTTATGTAATAAAAAATGAGTTACGTACCTATAGATAAACGATAATCTTAAACTATAAAGTATACACGTACAGCTTTAGAGTCAACTAAAATGATTTACTATTAAGATTTTAATCAGCAAATGTCAAAGATGTTGATTTACAATTATTAAACAATTGGAAAATATTATAATATTAATATAATAAAATATTAGTAGAAATAATAATAACTCAATATAAATAAAACGATATATATGCGTAAAAGTAAAAACAATAAAATGTAATAAATATGTTGGGTTTCCATAAGTAAATAACTAACTTAGGTAGTATTATGGAATGTTGATTTTCTTAATTTTCTTCTCAGGTTCGAAATACAACAAGACTTCGTCTAGAGTTTTCCCTTTGGTTTCGGGCATAATAAATATAGCAAATAACACGTTTAATATACAGAAGAAAGCGAATATCGACCAAACGATTTCCACTCCTAAATTTGAGATCAGTGATGGATATATTTTGCAAATCATAAACCACATGACATATCCACATGTCTGTACAACTCCATTCATAACACCTGCAATAAATATGAATATAATATAATATGTAATAAACAAACTATGCTATAAATTAGTCAAATTGATCTTGGGAATAATAGTAGGAATTGTAGGATATTATATATAAAATGAAAAATTTAACAACAATTTAAAACACAAGTGACTAATTTACACACACCGGATGATTAAAATGGTCACTTCCTGTAAAGATATTATAATATCCATTTGGTTTATCTACTAAAAATGGCTTGTATGACAATTTATTATCTTTATTTATTATTATAAAAATACTTTTTCCCGAAACTATGAAACAAAAAAAACTATGATCTAGAATCTAATCTACATGGCACTGCATATTCAAACAAACACCGTTTGAAAATGTACTATAACATTCTGTTCATACCACACACTGGACCGAATGAATATAATAGTAATAATTTTTTTATATATAATCAAAAGAAATCATCACTTCATTCAAATCAGTGACGTAAAAAATTGAAAAAAAAATAATATTAGAACTCACACACACTTGTTACTAGCCTAAAAAAATTGTACTAATAATAGTGACCGCATCAGCTCGAACCATTATTTAAGATATACAGGTCACTCATCAGTCATCACCAAATAGAATATGGTCTCCCGAGTCCCGAGTGATGAAATAATTTATTGCCACCTGGTCCAGTCCACCGCTGTTAATGCACACAGCTTATCGTTAAAAATCAGCTGTTTAGCATAAAAAGCATCCCAACTACTAGCACTCTGAAGAAATATAACTATAAATGTATCAAATTAAATATTTCAAGCAAATATATATTATTTAATTACATTAGTTTTCACTTGGGCGATGGATGCATTTCTTATTGACCGTAACTAAAGAACTAATTGGTAAACAAAATAAATGGTCCGTCGAGTAACCTGTATAATATCTTAAATCGAGGCTGTAACAACCGCGCTCGGCTCTTGTATGACTTCAGTGCTATATTATGGCGAAGATAACACAAATTGTAACTTAACCCACCTTGCTAGTTGCTTTAGCCACTTTATCATTCTTTCACCTATCTTCCTTATGCTATACATCTTAAAAATAGAATAACAATTGAAAATTAATTTTATTACCTTTTACCGCCATTGGGAAAACCTCACCACACAGTATCCAGGGCATGGGCAAAATGGCCAGCAGAGCGAAGAACATGAACATTATGAATGCGACGATGAGTGTCATTGCGAACGGCGGGTCCTGGACGCCCGCGAACACTTTCATGTAGGCAACTACTATGAGCAGTGAGACGGCCATACATCCACCGGAAATCATGACGAGCGTCCGGCGCGGGACTCTGTGCATCGCCGCGAAACCAAGGCCACCCATCAGCCGGGCCACGGACAGGAATAGTGAAACGGTGTTGCTGTCCCACGGCACCCTGCAGTCCCGGAGCACGTCCATTGAGTAGAACAGCAGCACGTACACGCCACTTCCCTGCTGGCAGACAAAGAACGTCAGAGTGACCACCGTCGGCATCCACACGTTGCGCCTCAGGAACAGCGTCCAGTATGGTGATGATGCGGCCGCGGGCCCGTTGGCGTCCATCGCCACGGCCAAGGTGGGTTGTTCGACCACAGCAGCCGATGGCATCGCCGCGGTTGTGGACGTCCCCGTGGTCAAGTGGCCCAAATCCAGCCACCTGTCCACCTCGTCCGCATCGGCGGTCCGGCCCTTGGCCCTGAGATACATCGGTGGTTCCGGCACCATGAATAACGTCAAGAAATTGACCAAACACAACACGAACATGATACCGGATATGGTTTGACAGCGGTAGAACATGGCCAATATGCATTCCGCCATCATACCCAGGCCCACGGTCATGGTAACCAATGTTATATACAGCGGTCGCAGGTTGGCTGGTGTTATTTCGGAAATGTACAGAAACATGCACGTACTCACGCCTGTTGAGCGAAATCGTATGAATTAGCTGGTAGGTATCTGAATTATTTATTCTAAATAATAATACGACTTTATAAAATTTAATATATTTTCATTTATTACTCTGATAAGCATAACATGACGATATGTATATTTAATGGTTTCAATACATTTTATGAGCCCCATACAGTTATACCTTCCAAAAGCACACCTACATTACAGACTGAAATAATGCAAAATAAATCATTTTTAGACTTACAATATACATTAAGATCTTATCAGTGGTGCATTTAGGGAGGGAGCATAGGGAGGTATTGTCCCGGGCAGCACTTTTTGGGGGGCAACAAATTTTTGCGGGATCTTTATTTTTGAAAACAGATTTATAATGATTTAAGCAACAAAACTATCTATTAATTTCTTTATATAAAGCTATTCTTATAAGTTTTTCTGTGCAATCAATCCCCACATCTGATAATAGACGTTTGTCATTGAATACCAAAACCTATTTTTCTGTGCCTAAACTAAACAAAAATGATAAATTGTACAGGACCACGTTTTTAATATTTAATAGCTTATTACTACAGGAATTTGAATAAATATTTTGAGATGAGGCCTTTGATATTGCATTATGGATATTGCATTGATAAATTATTAACTAACTATTTAATATTTGTGAGATGTTATAAAGATATAAGATATTTACTAGATGTAATATTGGATCTGGAATTGATTTTCCTTGGACACTTTTTACAAATTCTCATTCACTAAAATTTTCAAATCAACATAGCCATCAAACCCATTGTTATCAAACTATTAGCTATTATCCTTAGAACACAAAGTTGAATAATTCGTAAGCTACTCTTTCAAATTTTAAAAAAACATAAAAATGTTCTCTAAATTTTCTGCTGATTTATATTCTCTTAAAACAACTGAAATATGATGCTAATATTTTCTTAAAAAGCTTCAAATATTCTTATTATATTCTCTTAAAATTTTTAAAAAATACAAAAATTTACGAAAATAATCAATAAATATAAATACATGCTTTAATATGCATTTTTGTTTTTTTCCACTATTAAAACAATTTCATTTTTTGTTGAATGGTTCTATCCATATTGTGTTAATAGGTTTTTAAAACTGACTGATTTTTAGACTCTGAGCGGAGCGAGAAAGCTAGTGGTTTTACAATAGTGTTTTTTTTTCTTGTTTTTATATAATGTATAAAAATTTCTACCAGAAACAGTGCTTCAATTTCCACATATAGTACCTTGTCTTTAAGCAAATTGGATCAAGATGGTACTTTAATTTCTAACGCTTAGTTTATTACCATAGAAACGAATAAAAAATAATAATATTTTAATATTAATTTCAATTTACATGATATAATAATTAATGACAATATAAAATATCTAGACTGATAAACCGTCTCCGCTCAGAATCGCTTTTCTTATACAATGATAGAATATCATTGAATTCAAGTTTAATACAACCCATTATACAATGACCTTCATGTAACCTACTGTACAGCAGAGCGACATCCACTTAGCAACTTTTTTTAATTATTTAATTAAAAATTTTAAAATCAATTATTCGTAAATATGTTATTACAAAAGTGTGAAAAGGGGGGGACTGAGTAGCAGAGCGGATTAAGGCGTCGGTTGCGACACACACCTACGCCGGTTCGAACCCGGCCACGGGAAGCATTTTTCTTCGTGCAAGTCAAGGTGTCCAGAGAAGAAGTGCCGCCATCCCCCACCTAGGCATGATAGATACCTACGGGAGCAAAATAAAGAGTCTGCCAAACATACACGTGTTTACCCACAGTTTCATCCCCTACAGTTCCACAGTAACCTCAGTACATGAAGCCTCAACCTCAAAAAAAAGTGTAAAACAAAATTTGGAGCTTGGACATTTGAATATTTGATAAACATACCTATATGTTGATCTTATCAGCATATAAATATATCTGGCAGCATGCCAGCATTGAATTTAAAATATACTTATAAAATATCTTAAATATATCTTAGATCGTGATTGCAGGTTAGCCACAATGTTTAGTTAACGCACAGACTTCTATATGATGATACATTATATAGAATATATTACAGTATTATTTATTTATTTATTTATTTATTTAGCATACAATACGGGCGTGAGCCCAATTTCATTTAATATTAATACAAATAATTACAATAGTTGTATATGTATATTAGTGAAATTTAATGATCTATAAATACTTTCTTAAGTTTGTGAGATAGAAAAGGAGGGAACTTAATTGGCAATAGACATTCAACAGCGCTGAAGTGGTTCGTTTAAACCATAATTAGTGGATGAGGTAGGTAAATTAAAAGTGGTGTGTTGACGAGTGAAGTGAGGAGGGACATTTAAAGGAATGAGAGAGAGAAGGTATGGTGAGTCAATCTGTTTATTTAATAATTTTAATAGAAATGTAAAGTTAGAAGCAAGCCTATGATCAAATATTGAATCTAGTTTGAGATACTCTCGTACAGGATGATTATAAGGAGGACCTTAAATACTGAGTACATGACTTGCATATTTTAAAAAATTATTTTGAACTTGCTCAAGCACTATTGAGTTTTGAGCAGTATTAGGGTCCCAAATGACAGAGTCGTATTCAAGGATAGGCCTAGCAAGCGAACAGTACAGTGCCTTAAGAGGAGATGCTAAATTAAACTCTGTTATTATGCGCTTAATAAAACATAAGATTTTAAGTGATTTGCAGCAGACACGTGCAATGTGTAAATTTGGGCTAAACTTAGAACAGAGAACAAACCCAAGATCAGTGACAGATGTATCAAGTGATTGCATATTTAAAATTAATTGGGGATTTAAGGTATGTAAAAGTCATATGATGACATTTAGCAATATTAAAATCCAATCCTAGCTTGTTGGGCCAATGCAACAATTGCACTTAGTTCATCTTGCAGGATAAGACAGTCGTTTAAAGAGTCGATACGATAGAACACTTTTACATAATCCTTAAACGCTAGGGGCCGTGCATGCTTTAATGAATGGTTAATACTACTTAAAATTATAGAAAACAGTAGTGGGGAGAAAGGGCCACCTCGAGGGACACCAGATGAAATAAGGAGTATATCACAAGATACTCCATGAGTTTCAAAAAATTGTTTTCTACTATACCGTACCTATAACTGTATCGTCTATTAAAATTAATAATATATTAATATTTTTTCTCACAATTTACAAAATATTGTAAATTATGCTAAATGTGTTAAATCCCTAACCCATGAAATATTCTCAAATATGCAAAAAAAAACTTTTCTCCGAAATTAAAATTGAGTTTTTACACATTTATTACTCTCATAACTCATAAGACTGCATATACCTAGTAGCTAAATAATGAAAATAGTATAGTATTTTTGTGATATTAATGTATTTTGAGATGAACTACTGGTGATCAAAACTATACTCTCCACTATTTCAGAACATGCATACTTTATAATAATGGAAATATTGTTATTATCGTTTCTTTTTTGAAATTTATTATTTTATCACTATTATTATATTATAAATCATAGAAATAAAATATTGTAATACTCACCAAATGGGATTCCAAGTATAATTTTTCCGATTAATAGTGTGGTATAAGAGTTAGCAAATGTAATTATTAGCCAACTTAAAGCCATCGGTACGTAGACAATTTGAACAGTTTTCCGTCTACCGAATTTGTCGGTTAGTATTCCAATTATGAGTAAGCCGATCGGACATATAAGTATTGTTATACTTGCTGAAATAAATCATAAATGTTTCTTATTACGAATTAATATCGTTATAGTTAGTAAAAGTATAAACTATAAAATGCTATTTTTTAAGATTGCAAAACAATCACACTATGAAAGTCGAGACATGAAAGTTAAGAATATAGTTGTGAATGATCAACTCGAACTCAGTATAAGTTAACTTAATATGATAATAGTTTATCTATATTTTGTATTTAGAACATAGTATTAATTACATAATTTAGTTGCTTTCGACACGATCATTCAATTTTATAGTGAGATTTTATTAAATTATGTATAGACAAACTATAGTCCCAATATGCATATTCTAAACATAACATTTCTAAGCCTCATTAGTTATTTTTAAAGTAATTTTTTTTTGTAAATATTTTAAATATGTAACAGTGTACACGTTTAATAAATAGAGTTTCCATTTTTTGTTAGCTCAAAAAAAGAATAATAATTAATAATGTTCATAATAATAAAGATAAAAGTATAAGAAATATAATGGTAGGTTCCGAAGATCATTTGTCAACGATAATCACATAATACGAGTAAATATATGACCTAATATGTTGTAAGTGGAAATGGACGGTACTTTAGGAGATACTTGAGAGTAGTCGAGAGTCCAAAGATATATCAGTTATATATTTTTTAATGTTTTGTACGTGTCTTTCATTTGTTTAAATAGCGTGTTGGATTTATTATAGTTTTTTTTTTCAAATGTCAAAGTATTTAAATTCCAAATCGAAATTGTTTCATAATTGCAAATTGGATTAAGTGTATTAATTGTATTGGTTTTAAATCGTTGTTTGTGTATGTGTTTTTTTATTTTACTTACTAATAATATTTTTGTGTATCTAAAAAAATCTTTGTATAGTGGACCAAATGCAAACAACTTGCAAAAAAAAAAAAAAAAAATGAAGAACCTCAGAGATATAAAATATTTAAAAAATATTTTGACTAATTTTAAGCTTTTTTAAAAATTTAATCTCTAGTGCAACATTTCGTCCAAGATTGAAATTGACTTTCTGCAACGAGACACACATTTTTGTCACCCCATCGATCACGGTAAAGGTAATGCAAGGATCTATGCAACAACCAGACAATTCTACGGAAACAATTTCATGAAATAAAAATGTTTAAGCGTCATGCAAGGAGGTTATAATATGAACAAAGTATGTAATTAAAAGTTTATGTTTCGTAAGGACCGTGGTATAGATTTTAGTGTCTAGTTGTGCAGGGGATACTCTTGATATGAGCACCCTGCACTTTTGGCGATTTCCACTTTACCACCCGGAACTATGGGGATTCCCATTTTATTGCGCGCTGAACGGAAAAAGGTCGCATTCCAACGCTTCAACCGCTATCGAAAAACAAACTCTCGGTGCAGGCGTGATAAAAATATATTACTGATTTTTTATTACTTTTGGTTACGTATTTGATTTTCTATTACTAATTTGAAAGGTTGAACAAGTTTCTGCAGCATTTTAACAACTTTACATAGGTACTTTATTTGAATATTACCACATTATATACAATGGTGGAAAAGTTGATGAAAATAATTAACTGTGGCAAGTTAAGTTAATTCAATCAAATTTCCTTCAGTTAAGTGAAAAGTTAACAAAGAAAAAAATTTAACTAGATAAGTTTAAAGTTAAGATAGAAAATAAAATTAACATATGTCAGTTAAAAAAAAAATTAATTTTTTTGAAGGTACAATTTTTTTAAGTCATAAGCTACCATAGTATTTTTTTATACACAAACATCTACCAAGACATTAATTAACACTGTGTAAAAAATTAGATTATTATAATATATAATTCGAAAATAAATTACAAAAATCGTAGAGAAGTCGGCGAATCAGTATTGCCTAGTTGATGATGCATGACTCAAAAAGAAAATTAACTTAACTGCACGACAATGATAATTAACTATAAAACGTTAAGTTACAACAATAAAAATTTTAACTGAATAAGTTAAAAACAAAAATAATTAACCAGTTAAGTAAAAAAGTTAAAAAAAAAATAATTGTTTAAATTAACTTTAACTTTTAACAAGTTAATGCCCACCTTTGATAATATATTATTGTTATTAAACAATGTGAATTATGGTTTGGTAGTAAGTCGTGTATAATGATGTATCTTTGTATCTTTTTATATGTATTTGTATAGAGGTGTAAATACTTCAACTAAAAAGTTGAAGTATTTAAAAGTTAATAGAGTGTTTAGCAAGTATTTTAAATAATTAATAAATTGTAAATAAGTATTGTAAAACAAAATACTAATACCTATTTAAATTATGTAAAAATCAAATAAATGGTGATATTCTAAAATGTCTATAAATAACTCAAAGAGGACAAAAATATTTTAAAAACTATATCAGGTCTAGAAAAGGATACAAAATATCAATATTTTTTGAAAAATGTTAGTTTGTAGGTACCTAACTATATTGTTATTCATTCATCGATTTTGTCAAAAACTGGCATTGCTTAAATATTTCTGGTTTTCCGTAATTATTAAGTAATTAAGTACCAATTAGATATAATTGTCTGCTAGATACCATTCTTAAGACTGAAGTTTTTTCACATCCCCAAAAGGATATATTAATATATAATGATACAAAAATAAGCGAAACTCTCGTCATTGTACTTATAACCAATATGTTCATGTTCTACTGAGACTCTAAACATTTATTAAACTACTAAATTACATTAAACTTAGAGATGAAGATGCTTGCAAAAATGAATTATTTAGGACAGACATATTGAAGGTAATACAATTTCATTTTAACGTGTACATATTTTATGTTGGTATAGAGTGTTATTTTGGGACTCAACTATTATAGGTATAGGTAGGTACACGATTTAATATACAGCTGAGTCGAGTTAACTCGAAGTTAAAGGGAGATAAAAATCGCTTCAAGATAATGAACTTGAATTCAAACTAACCAAGTTCATGCAGAATAAAAAAAAAGTGGTCGAGGTTTGAGTTATCACGAATCGACTGTATTAGATTTGTCAGAGTCAGTTCGCTAACCTCATACCTTATGTAACTTAAATATAAATTTTAATTGTGAATAGTGAGTATTTAATAACATACTATTTTATGTGGTATAGGCTATAGATAGGTGGTACCTACTACATATTTCCAAAATTATTGTAGAAAATAAACCAATATTAAAGTATTCGAAACTGATAAAAGTATTTGAATACATTTTCAAATTTATTTCTACTCAAATACCTATAACGATATGATGTAAAAAATATAGTATCTTTAACATAGGTACTTAGGTACTATAGTAATATTATTATGATAAATGTCCAATAATCTACATACTTATCCAAGATTCCTCTTCGATACTCAAATGTATTGTTGACGAAGGTTCTCGAAGTTGTGCCACAAGCGTAGATGAAAATGAATACGAACAGCCGATCAGAAATTGAGTGAAGCACATCGTGGTGGAACAGAATATCTAAATGTACCACAAAATATAAATTTAGACCAGAATAATATTTTGTACTTTTTTAATATCATCAAAACATAAATCTCAAAAGTTATATCATAATTAAAATAAATATATAATTTTTTGTTGTTTTTTTATATACCCACAAGTTTTAGGTGACATATTAACTGTCCGTGTTTCATTTTTCTAAAAAAATAATAAATCGTGTGTTTTAAAGCTAATAGATTACTAATAGATAACTAATAGATTTTGACACTCTGGCTCGTTTGTTAGGAACCAACCTCACACTAGAAATGTAGTTAAGTCATAAGTATAAATTAGTAGTAGTTCAATTATTATATACCAGTATACAAATTAGATTGGTTATCAGTAAGGCCACTTGATAGAAATGCGTAAGCTTAAAATTCGAAAACAAAGTAGATTAGTAATTATAATCTTTGATACAGGGTGGCAAACACAATAAAATATATCAGTTTTCTCTGTTTCTCGTAAAATAATAGATAAACAATACTATATCTTTGAAAATATCACAATATTTTACGTATAGTACACATCATCTGAACGTATTGCATGGATTATTTTATTTATATTATAATTATTATAATTGTATCAAGCACCTCTTCGAGATTCCCTATCTGCACAATATTCACAGTATATTTGTAATATTATAAATTTAATTTTTACACGGCCACTGACACGGTGGAGAGCTCTAGTAAATATCAGCGATAATATAAGAATAATTACCATTGTCCATTCGCATCATAATTGTATAAACACATGATTTATGATGTAGCTTTTGGTTTTGTTGCACGTAGGTACTTGCCAATCACATAACAGCTAATATTATAATACATAAAAATATTCCACTTGAATACCAGCTACAGGTACATATATAGCCGTCCCAAGGGGGGGGGGGGGGTTAAAAATAATTAAGTTATATACTTATAAACTAAACTAATTCATATCTTTGGTAGTATTAAATAATATTTTCACTTGTAAAAGATTTTTTTTTCTGGTTTTGTAATAAAAACCATTTTTAATCATAAAAAATGCGAGGTCCTTAAATATTGTGTTTAATAGTCCTCCTTTATTTTGCCTGGTAAAATATGGAGAAATGTCATCATTATTTTATACAGAGTGTTGCACGATAAATGTGTAAACTTCTAGAGGTGTTTCTACACATCAAGTGGAACAAAAAAAGTCCTTAAGACCCCTGCTTTAAAAAATAATTGTTGCTAGATAAAACTGAAATTTTTAAAATTTCGATATTTTAAAGTTTTAAAACATTTGTGTTATTCTTTTTACCCAAAAAATAGGGTGGGAACCTTGTAAGATATGTTTTCCTAAACCCAATTTTATGAGATTTTCATCAATGTATTCAAATTATTTGTAGTACTTAAGGTTTAGCAGATATGAACATTATTATGAATCAAACTCGCATTTAACCAAAAAAACACAAACATAGAAATTATCACACTTATTATTGATAACTCGATTATGGTCATAAGGACTTTTTTTGTTCCATTTAAGGTGTAGAAACACTTCTAGAAGTTTGAAACATTTATCGTGCAACACCCTGTATTTATAGAATAATATTTCAATAAGCCATCAAATTTCTATACTGACAGTGAAATTTGATTCATACATAAGTACATTAAAATAATGCTAATTTGATACTTGTTATCAAATACGAAAATAGTAAATTATTAGTTAGGCTGGGGCCTGGGGCCCCTACAGTCTATGGACCTCAGTGATCAACAACCCCCACCCTCGGGTAGTTGTGCTACTGTAACTATTATACGCATAGATATATGTATATTATGTTATAAGTTATAACCAACTCATTATCAATTTTACCCACTTCTTAAAATAAATCGAGTTAGTGTATTTTGACTGAATTTTGTATATTATACTCACTTATATTAACTTGTACAATTTACAATGTTGATGGTTTATTCACTCCACACGAAGAAACTCAGAACGTATGATTTATAATAAAATCTACTAATTTGTGAAAATAGTTATATATACTTTCTTTCTGTAATGTACGAATGTACCCAGAATAATGAAATCGGTGTCAACTTCGAAAAAATTATGAAAACAAAATAAATATGATTCCAACAATAATATTATTAAAAAAATAAGTAGAGACCTTTAATTAATAAGTATTGAACATATTTAAGGTATGTGGTTAATTATAAGCTAAAAATGTGAATTCGAGATTTTTTGTGGGAGAACAAATATTGTTGCCCTAGGGTGTTATTGGTGGTTAGAGCGGCACTGGGTACATAACGTATTATGTCTATTGAAAATATGAAAGAGTATCTATTCTCCTATATAACTAATATATTTTTATCTTTATGCAAATAATCGTTTAAAAGCAATATATAGCAGTATATCAATATAATAAGCGTTGTTTGCTGACTTTGATCATTAGATTCTATCTTTTGAAAATTATGCTAGTTTTAGTTGGTTGAATATTTGGATTTAATTCAGTAGTTGTATTAATTTCCAGTTGCTTCCAAAAAAATTAATATTACGGTGTAATTATTTTTGTTGAATCTATTCATTCTGTTGATTTTTTTGAATATGGATGCGGGAACCGCATATGGCTTAATGAACCATCACATATTATACACCCCATAATAATAGTATATAAACCTGGGCTTGCATTTGAAAAAAAAAATTGTGTTTATGTTATTTACAACTGAAAACGTTACACAATTGTTGCGTTTATCGTTATTTAGAATAATGGTAATACCTACTCAATTTATGAATAAGAACTAATATGGGTAAGTAATAGCCTGGATACGCATAAAATCAATATTTCTACGAAACCAGTATAACTCTTAAATAAATGGATTTTCGTTTTGCGATATTTTTCGTTGATGATATTCTATGAATTACGTTTTGTTTAATGATATAAATATATTTTGTTTTAGTTTAATTATTTTTGATTATCGCTTTCCATTGTAATTACGTTTACAAATTTCAATCGTTTTTTTTTTTTTTGTCAAATATAACTTTATTATAACGTTTGCAAGCCCTGGACTATAAACACATAGCTTTTGTTTTTAATTTTTTTGCACATGTCTGCCAATCTTACAACAGGTAATATAATGTATAAATATTTTCCATTTGAATACCAGCTACAGGTATATGACGTATTATGTCTATTGTTTATATGAAGTAGTAGCTATGCTCCTATATTATAATATATTTTTATTTTTGTGGAAATAATCATTTATATGCAATCTGTATTGCTATCAATATAAAAGGCGTTGTTGCTGATTTTGATAATTTAATAATTCTATAATAATTTGAAAATGATGCTAGTTTCAATTGATTAGATGTAATTCAGTGATTGTATTGATTACCCATTGCTTCCAAAAGAATCCACAATTATGGTGTCATTATTTTTGTTAATCATTTTTTTTTCTGTTTAATTTTTTGATTTTGGGGTTGAGTAGCAGCTTATATCATTAAATTAACACTTACTAACATAATATCATGTAAAATTCTATTTATTTTCTAAATATCTACTTATAGTATTAACTAAAATAGTTAATAAATTTTCGGCTCAATTATATATACAGTTGAGTTGGAATAACTTGAACTTCGATAACTCAAACACTTGGCAACTTGATTTTTTGTACTATGGATTGTAGAAGAAATTAATAATATAAATTAGTATTTTTTTTTTTTTGTATATCAAGGGTTGTCATTAGTGACTCAGGCAGATGAGGTAAAAGCATTTATCAAATAGTCACATTTATGGTTTCAAATAACGAAATAAGAGGTGTATTTGTAGCCATTGTGTAGATACTTAAAAACTACTAACTGATTTTGTGAACATTTCAAATTGTTCTTGGAGATATCAGGAAAGTTTGAAGAGTAGTTTGAACCACGAGAGTTCTATCTTGGTTGAATTAGTTTTCAAAGCGGAGGAAATTTGTCTGTGAACTGAGGTAGGCAGGTACACCAAAAATTATAGCCTCGAAAGTCACTGGACCGTTTTCAATAAAAGTTATATCAATAGAATAATTGAAACTTGATGGGTGTCTACACTTTACAACTATATTTTTTAACTAATATAGAATATAGATACCTAAATGGTAGCTCACATATGGTTTTTTTAGCTTACGAAAAAATAAAATGTTTTTGTTTATTTAAATTTTAAATGGTTGCAATTGGTAACATATTATATTAATATTATAATTCCAAGAAATATGGTAAGTAAGTTTTGTATAATTGTATAAATATTGTTATTAAAAAGTCACTCTGTAGGTTACAAGTGGGTCACTTTAATGTGTAATGGATGGTGTTAATTTTGAATTGAATGATATAATATCAATTGTATAAGAAAAACGATTCTGAGCGAAAGCGGTCAGTCAGATTATGATATTACGAAGTATATTGATATAAAGGTGAATAAAGTAATTTATATATAACCTTTTTAAGTGGAATTTTGTTTTAAATTTTCAATCCTTAGCTATAAAAGTTAAGTTTTATAAATTTTTAACTACAAAATTATTATTATATTTTAAATGTGATACATTTTGTCAAAATTTGAACTCTAAATTTCTTCCTACTAATAAAATTGTGTGCCTATGTATTTTTTATTTTTTTCATCTGCCATTGAAAAAATATACTAGAAGCCTTTTATTAAATTTTCAAGCTCTTTTACCCAAAAAAATACAATTTTATTGATATTTATAGAAAAAAAAACTAAAAATATTGAAAACTGACAATGTTCGTAAACAGCTCAAAAAGAGTCAAAATATTTTCAAAATTGTATGGTGTATAGAAAATAAACATTCAATGAAATTTTCAAGTATCTACAGTCATTAGTTTTTTAATTACAATAAAATAAGAAAATCGTTACATGAAAAATCGAGTGAATATCAAATGTTGTAGAAATATGAATTTCAAACGCTCTTAAAAATTGAATTTGAGTTCTTGTAGACATTTTATTTTTGATAAAGGTAGACAAACTTATGAGGAATTTTGTATTACATTTTCAAATCTAAGATTTAAAAAGACAATTTTTTATGAATTTCTAACTCAAAATAATTTGCAAATTTTCGTCATTTTTACGTATTTTATCAATATTTGAACTTTAAATCTTTATAAAAAAAAATAGTGACTATGAATTTTTAATTTTTTTCATCTGCCATTGAAA